GCTGGGGTTGAAATCTTTGCCAAACCTCTCAGGTTAGCACATTTCTCTCTTTGTACCATCCCAGTTAGAAAATGTTGTCGCATGGCAACACGATGCAAAGCATTCATTTAGCTATGCAGAACAGGCTAGCTAAAGGCCATTTCAGCCACATAGAGACTCAGTTTTGTGGAGAAGAGAAGAGAGAAAGAAAGGGAAAACATTCACAGATCCCAGAACCCTTCTTTATTTGGAAGAATGGCTTTTAAATGAAGTCAAGCAGTATCTTGTTTTATCATTTATTTATTTAGCAAAGAAAAGAATGAATTCAAATACCCCACACAATGAACAAATATCTATTCCCTGATATCAAGATGCAGATTTGCTTGTGAACGATTTTAAATGAATCTGTTTTCTTACTATAGAACTCATCTTGTACTGTGCATGGATTTGTGCAGAAGCAATACATTTTTGGGCTCAATCCTGTAAACACATTAAAATAAGTGACTTGTTACATCCATACCACTGAACTCGATGTGGTTACTTATATGATGAGTAAAATCATACTCAAGAGCCTAGCTTTTGCCAGTTTAAATTTAGGCATCCAAATGACAGTGAAAATTGGAAGTGTATCTCTCTAGGCTCACTACACTGTTGGTGGAGAGACACACCCTCGCCAGGACGTAACTGCCTAAGGATGTTCTCCCAGACGAGACACAGAGTGTGCTGGTGGCAGCTACAAACAGAAATTGGTCAGATGCCTCAAGCAGAACAAGATAAGCTTGGACCAAACTGTTTACAGAATTGATCTCATACAGCAAAGCCATTATGCATACAATTAACTTCAGGAATGTTCTTATGTTGCGCAGATTCTAATAAAACTGGTCCCACATTTAAATTATAATTATGAGGAAAAAAATACTGAAGCATTTATTCCTATTAACATTTTTGTTGCATCTGGGACCTCTTACTTTCTTTTCTGGTTTGAACAGCCATATGGCCTGATGTTCTGAGAACTTTCTTCACTTAACGTAAGTGCTTTGGTAGCTCTTGATTTGTACATTGATGTGGTATTTTCCCAGAGGTTACTGAGGAGCTCTGGTAGAGCTAACTAAATGCACAGTGTCCTACACCCATCTGAGACTTTAATCAGTACTGCTTAATAGCCTGGAAATCAAAGCCATTTAAGACCCATTCTTTCTGCCACTCTTATGAAAATCCTAATCCTAGTCAAAAATCTCTTGATTAGTTTTATCCAAACTCCTCTGTTCCAACAGCAGGTGACTGGAAAAGCTTCCATGTAAAGTAACTTTAAATGACCATAAAGGTCACCAGCCTCAAAACAAAGCACAAGATAAATCTGCAAGCATAGGAGTCCTCTTTCTAAGCAACTGAGGAACGTACGCTATGTATCAGACACAAAAATAAGCCTGAAAAGTGTACTCGAGCACAATTATACCTTGAGTTAACCAATGAAAATATATACTGTACAGGATCAGACTGCAATGCTGCTTTCTCCTCACTCCACATAGCAGGGCTACATAGAAACAGCTTTTCTCAGAGAATTTTGATCTATCTGCCAAAATGTTTGCCTTCAAAATAAAGAAACGTTTTTAAATTTATGCAAACAGAGCAAAAGTGCTTTAGCAATATTAACTATTGGCATCAGAGGTAATACAATTACTTATCCAGAAAAGATCACTTTATCCAAGCAAAAGGATAAGGGGTATTTAAGCATGGCTTTTAACAGGCAAGGGAGTTGATTTTCCCTTTCCCAGAACAGAACAATGCTGTAAGAACCAAATTTTACCCTTGTGCAAATTTGAGAGCTCTATTGGTTTAAAGAAGATTTACAAGCAATCACTCACTTTTAGCTATAAGAGCTTTCATGGAGAAATCTGCTTTTCACCAAAATATGTGTAGCCTATTTTAGAAAAAATTACTAAATAAAGTAAATGGAAAATTAATAGAAGCTGCACTTTGTTTTGCTTCATGTACTAGGAAAGGCTGTACTGAACTACCTGGGCAGCTGTATAGAACTCAGAAGGTGAAAATACTAATATAGGCGGTGCATCTGGGGTCCACTAAAATTACCTAAGACGCAACTATCTAATGGCTTTAAAACCTCAGAATCTAGCTTGACAAGGAGATCTCAACACAATTTTTTTCTCATTGAAGTGCTGTGAAATTTCCATGTTTACCCTACTGCTTTAGATAGAGGTTTTAATATACCTCTGCCTGCTATTTAGAACAATATAATTAAGGAAGATAAATGATAAAAAGAAAAATGTTTAAAAGAAACACTTTTCTGACAAGTTGGCATGGTGTTTAAACGACATTACATGGGAGTTGCTCAAAGATCTGGAACACCTGAAATACTCCTTTGTGAGATGGAAGTGTGAGCAGACTGAGCATCTGCTAAAGCACTTTTCCCTTGATCATACAGACCTAACCTAAGGTATTATTACTGCATATATAACATGTATCTAACATATGTATCTATCCATGAAAAGAATGGAAACTAGATCGCTGTAAAGATAGGCGTGCCTCAAACTAATGAAAAGTTAAAGCTAATTTCAGATAACTTTAATTAAAAAAGGTTAAAATAAAAATACATAGTTCAAATAGTTTTAAGATATTGGTCTCATAACTAATAGTCTAAATATAAAATCCATAAGCCAGACTAATGCGCTCTTAGTATAGGGGCAGAGAGGAACAGTGTTGTGCATAATGTTTGTATGTGCCTGTGCTGCTTTTTCTCGGCAGTGGCAGCAATACAGATTTTATTTTCTTTATCTTATTTAAGTGTAAAATTTTATCTTTTCGCATGAACAGAGTGATTCAGATCCTGGATGGGTTATGATTTGGAGAGTTTTTTCCCCCTCTGAATTTTCTTGCACACAAAATTTACTCTTACCCAGGGCAATCAGCTAATTTCTTCCTGGAAAACCAAACCTAATGTACAGTAAAAAAAATCACAAATTATAGAGAACCAGTATTATTACACTTTCTGGAGATGAACTGGTGCGATGGTGGGGTGCTTTCTTTTGACTTAGTTAGTAATAGGGAGAACTATTCAGCTGGAAAAAATAGGTGGCTGATCTTAATTATTTTCATAGATGGTAATGTGTGTTCATTATACTGCACAGCTTTTCAAGACCACTTGCTTTCCATTTTTTTTCATTTTACTGCAGAACAGAGATAGGAAGCACAGTGCTACATTCAGGTCTATCCCCATTCAAAAGTGTTGCTCTTTGCCATCGTTAGATGCAGTGTTTACCCTTGCTATATAAGTGGCTGGACCACCAAAGTGGTGCTCCAATGCAGTGTCACATGATCAATGTTTCTTGGTACTTTTTGCTTTTCAGTACATAGTTGTGAATGATCATAATCTGTACATGTTTTTCTCTATTTGCCTACCATAAGAGTAACTTAATGATCAAGGGCTCTAAACACAGAATGAAAACATTTCCACTCTGCTTCTCCTTGCACACCTTCCTGGTCTTCTGGTGCAACAATCCTTGCATCTAGCATGCTCAAAATACTGAAAGCCCAACTCTTTAATCCTTAATATTAATCTTTTCACAAGCTTCTGAGAATAGCAAATGCTGCCTTACTACTAAGTACTCTGGAAAATCTGGCCCAAATCCCTGCCCTTTTCTTTTTAGTTATACATCTGGAATTTCAGATACAAAAATAACAGTGTCATGGACAGAATAAAGAAAAATGGCATAAAAATTCTTTGTGTTTCCTCACCTGCCACTACAAAAGGAATTAAAACTGATAACTTAAACAGTATTTTAAATATTTACATCAATGAAGTCCAACAAGATAATCACTTAAAACACCATAAGAATGTTTCTCTAGGGGCTGACTAGCGTGGGTCGGACACAGCAGCAAGATGAGACAACGCTTTGCAAATACATCTGCATTTTCTGAGCCAGCTTTGTTTGTCAGACACGTGCATACAAAGTAAAAGCTGGAAAGAGAAAAGCAGATCTATGGGAGCCTGAGATAGCACAAAAACCGTGGTGCAGTCGTACCTTTCTGTGATCAGCCTGACAGCAAGTGCTACAGCCGAGAGACTACCAGGGTCCCATACACACGCACCAGGGAGAGGAAGTCTATGGGATGCCACAACCTGTGCAAACCCGCACGCTGCAGCAAGGCTGGTTTGCTAACAACACACAGAAAAACCTTGCAGTGTTCCTCTCCTATCTGCCCTCCTCCCTCAGCCCCCCTGTGGGACATACCCTTCCACAGCCTCCCAAAAATTAAACCGAACTAGATGAAGGTTTTACGTGACTGTGCTTGGCACACAACTGGAAACCACTGACCCTGTAGCTTTCTGGGTTAATTACAAGATCACAACCCTTGGTACGGCATTAGTCTCTGCACTCTGAACAGCTGAACTGCAGCTGGAACAATTTACAGCCCAGGAAGATCAGCCTACAGAACCCAGACAGAGCTGCTGCAGAGCATTGCTAAACCACCACGTATCTTCTTGCCATTGTTCCCAGCACCCTGTGAGCTCTTTTTCCTGGTGTGAGCTTCAGGAAACCGCACAGAAGGCTCCATTGCTAACAGCAGAGCTCCCTTTTCAAACCTCGTGGAAATAAAAGACAACGCCTAAAAAGAAAATTAGATTTGTACTCCTGGCGCAGCTTTAAGGGTTAACATTATTTTCTTTTTAAAGCTCAGGAATTACTTAAGTCACTTGTTAGAGAAATCTGACTGGAAGTCTATGGAACTGAGTGAAGTGATGCAATCCTCATAAATGGTCCAGCGACACAGAGGGGCTATAGATGCAGCCAACACTGAAGGCCAACCTTGCACTCTGCAAAGAAAACATCATGTCACAAACGGGTGTTTTGGGCTTTTGGCAGCAATGGGACATCGATGGCTTGGATCGTGCTTGAAATGTCTTTGAACTTCATCTCTGAAGCCTCAATCACATGAGCAGTCAAGTAGCACAGGCCTTGGGGACTGGGAAGTTACAGGAGGCCAGAAAATACACAAGCCCATTAGTACTCATCATAATTATTGAAATCTGTAAAATAGGTATTAGAATAAGTCTTTGCAGTAAGATGTGGATTGAAGTATTTGTTTCTCTCCTCCAGAATCAGGTTGTTTTTGTTAAATGCCTGGGGGGAAAAAAAAAGAAAGAGATAAGAAAATGGGAATGAGAAAGACAGAAAAAAGGTATCCAGTAGGTGCTCTTTCATGAAGGCAATTTTTGTGGCAAATATCTGTGTATAGTAAGTCAGTCAAAAATGCATTGAGAAATACCTGCACATTTACTAAAACTTGTACTTGTATATATCTGCTTACATATTAACATTCCTACAAAAAGCAATGCTGCTCAATAAAGCAAAGCCAGGCACTTTTCCCCCAATAATATAAAACTAATTCTATGCTTAAAAATACTTTTTAATCATACATGTTCAGTTTTCCTATTAGAATGATTCACTCATCATCTTTTTACAGAATAAGAGTTATTTTCTCTTTACTACATTAATTCCTTGATTTTCAAATGCAATATGTAGAAGAAATGTCTGAAGGTCTTAAGAGTGTAAATCCAGATTTTTTAACAGATATGGGTATTTCAAGTATGAACTCTCAAAGTTTTGATTTTTTTTTTTGTTTTGTTTCTGTAGCCATCCAGAGAGATGATTAGTGGAATTTGGAAAAGCTTTAATTAGGTACATATTCCTGCACTGATTACAAAAATCTAGACTTTTCTTGCAGCTTTAAATGAAATTCTTTAAAATGTCTTTAATTAGAATGAAAAATGCAGACATTAAAAACTAGATTATCCAGGTAGGATTTAAGAAAAATCCTCATTTACAAAAAGCTTTGCAGCAGCGTGAATAAACTATGTCATCTGAAGATACTAAACCAGGTATTTTCAGAATGCTCATCCTTCCTTAATTCAGTGGATCTGGAAAGCAGAGCTACTCTAAAAGGTCGTAAAAAGAAAATAGCTGTTTGGGAACAATGATCATCTGATATAGATATCTGCTGGACTCTCAGCTAATGTAAATCTGTACTACCCACTTACAGAATATTTTGGGTATGAACACTATCTGAGAGTCTGATCCTGTATAAAGACATAGTGAGGGAAGATGAACAGTGTCCTTGACACCGTATCATTGGAGGCAGGGGATTATCTTCAATGTATGTCATGATGACTGTTAATGGCCCTATTTACATCTTGAACAAGCCACTAGGGAACATGATTAGGAATAAAACCCCACAAAACAAAACTTGAGTGGCCTGTTTTTTTCCAGGAAAGGCTGCTCCTGTATAAATTACACATACACACACAAAATTTCACTTCCTGTGTAATAGGGATTGACAAAGGAAAGGATCTGTAATTACAATACCTCAAGTGAAATCTGTTTTTGTCATTAATAATCAGCACGATTTGAGTCCAAATGCCACTGCAGAAAACTAGCAAGTAGAATTCTTTTGATACAGCAGAACTGTTGTCTAGGACCATATACATTGTGCATTATAGAGCTCCCAACCCACTTCTCACCTTGATGGCTTCTACAGAATCATATTTGTCCAGTTTGTTGATATGGTTGGTAATGCTGGTATTTAGAGGAGCTGGTGACACGGGATGGATGACAGTTGCATCATGTGACTGTTGTTGATATCGTTGGCAATAAGTGTAAACAAGCAGGGTAAGAAGGCAACCAAGTATTGAGCTACTTAATCCCACTGCGATCATGTGAAACATGTTGAACTCTGCAAAGTGGAGAGCAGAAGTCAAACTTGCATTTAAGAAAGTAGTAATAAAAGGTTAAGCTTGAGGAAAAATGTAGACAAGTACTTGATTCAAATAAAGGAATTTTCATGTGTTTCCAGAAACATCTCAATTGCAATGGTTTATCCCTACAGTAGCAAATGCATTGTACTTCCCTGAAGGGATCATTATAACAATCTTAGAGACCAATACATACCTGTGATGCTTAAACAAGTTCAGAACCCAAATAACAGATGAATTAATTGCATTTTATATGTTTGAATAGTTCAGTAAAATTTTTCTTCAAACTGTGTAACAAAGCCTTGTTATATATAAATCATGTATGTAATGTACATACACAGCTTTTTTTCAGTGACTACATTATCACCTCCTTTGTTGTTCTAGTTCTTTCTCTTACACATAGTGACTTGTGGCAGAACTAACAAAATCCTGATATATTTGAATCACAATCCTGCTTTCCTGAAAATGTTTTCCATATTCCCTTTATTTGGTGCATCCCACTGTAAGCAGTGGCACATATTTTTTCAGTCCACTGCTTTGATTCTTGCTGGGTCTCACTGTTTCTGTATCTTTGATATATGGTCAATATTTTCCCTTGTCCAGCCTTCATAATTTTTTCTATATGTAAGGAGGGAAGGCAGGGGTGAGGAAGAAATAGTAGTGTTTTAGGGGGAAATAGGAAGGGGGGAGGGAGAGGGAGACTCCTTAAAGCTCAGTGTGCCTTTAACCAGAGCAGCCAGAGAAAGCAGAGTCAACAACTCAGAACCCAGCACTCTCCTGTCTGCTCTGCCCTTCAAAGATACTTTGAGATCAGACAATGGGAAACCCTCTCCACCTATGCAAAGATTAAAACTGAGAGGAAGATCATCGCTGCATGAAACTGTAGAAGAGAATCTAAAGCACAATCATTCCTTGATGTTACTGAACAGAGATATCAGGTCTGATGTGGCACCACTAGGATTAGCTTGAAACAAACAATTTACACTGCTTTTCATTGTTATTTCAAACTGGAGCTGTGCATTTTGACTAGGAAATCAGTATCAGTGAGAAGCTCATGTTAGACATTAAATCTCATCACTAGTGAAAATTTGCTATGAAGGACATATGAAGGATTTTAAACCAAAAGAATGGCAGTAGTTTGAAAAATGTCTGTTAGACCTGTTTCACTGCCCACTGGGTATTTTGCAAATGCCTAGGGTAGGACCTTTACATTCCTACTGGGCATTTAGAAACACAAACTAATATTTAGGTGACTAGGTTGACTGCCCCAATATATAAATTATCACTGAAATAGCCTTATGCACTTTCATGAGAGTTTCCCACTGTTGCAGAACTTGGCAAAATGTTTTCAGAGTACCACTGATAATTAGTTAAAAAATCAAATCGCATTATCCTGGCTCCCATAACAAGTTACCACGCACACTAGTACCCTTGCATAACCCCTGTGTTTTCATTGTCCCTTATTACGTTAAAAATGCAGCTTATCTGTGCATGAATGAATACTAGAACTGGTCAGAGCTATTACCATGACGACACAGACTAAGCGTGATAGCTCAGCACAAAAAAATGGTCATTTTTCCTTTTTCTTCTTATTGTTTAGGGTTTTTTAAACAGTTTTCTCTTTCAAGATTTGTTTTGCTAGCATCAGGACTCTCTGGAATGGCACTTTTTTTGTCAGTTTTTAGATTTGTCTTTGGCAGCAAAGCTAAAAATGAGTCTCAGGTACAGTCTGATCTATTAAATGGGTTGACATCCTGGCTTTCTGCTGTTTATTTGGGGTCCCAAAGAGGTTTGTGAAATTATCCTGAAAAAGGTGGAGCAACTTTACAAATTTTGACCTACTGATAACTAGCTTATAATAAGAATTTTTGAGACAAGGGTGACTGCTGTACTGAAAAAGAAGAAAATACAAACATCCAGTAATACATGTTCTTGTCTCAAGGGTCATCAATGGCAGATGGATATTTAATGAGAAATCCTGTAGTAACTATATTTCTTTTCCTGTACAAGTAATAAAAAACAAATAATGAGAATGCCGCATTTAGAAGGTAGACTAAAATTAAGAGGGTGCAAAAGGTGAAACAAAAGCAAAAAATGGGGAAATCAACATTCCATCATTTAATACACATCTAGATCTGAAAAGCTTACCGCCACATCGTTTTTCTTCTACGCTGCTGGATCGTGCCACTGATATTTCTAGAAAAATAAATAAAACATTTATGCCAAGGAGTATAATATTACAGAGAACTACTAGTTTGATTAACACAGCAAGGATTTAAAAATTCATTCTACTACATTCACTCCAAATCCAAAGTAAAAAAATATTCTGACTATGCGGTAGAATTAACAAAAAGGTCCCATGACATCTTCAGGTTTCTTAGTTTCCCAAGCAAAAGCAGGATAATATTTTTAATTTTTGCATCAAAACATCTCTGGAATTAAAAAGATGAAGTGCACATGAAAACATTTTTTGAGGAGTTTAAGCATGTTGAGAAAGCATTGATTTTCTGAATAGTAAAATCGAGAGTTTAATTATCACATGTTCAAATGTGCTCATTACTTCTAGAAGTCACATCTAGCACTAATGTGAAAAGATGGAGTTTACAAATCTTGAAAAAAGATGACTGCAAATTTCATGGGTCTCAGTTGTAAACTAATAAAGTGTAGTTCCAGCCTGCATCCTTACCATTTTGACTTTGGAAACATTCTGCATAAATACTGAATAAAATCTGTTCTCAATCAATTTTTCCCACTCTTTACTTCAGAACCATGGCTTCTGTGAAGGGAAGTCCTGCCTTACAAATCTCTTGAACCTCTCTGAAAGGGTCAATGATGATGTGGTTATGGGTGGGGTAACTGACACAGTCCACCTGGATTTCAAAAAAGCTTTTAAGTTCATTGTTAAGCGAACAAGATGAGGGAAAAGATAGAAAGCAAGGTAGTACTGTATGCCTAGTTCTTAATGGAGGAAGGTTACCACTTCTGCAGGGACCTAGCCTTTTCAGCAAAGAGCTAGAAAAGCAGAAGGCAAATGTGGTTTTGAAGTTTACTGATGATACAAAGTTAAGGAAGCATGGACAAAGGCATGCTGTGAAAAGCTGCACAAGGGCCTTACAAAACTAAGCAATAGAATAATGAATGAAACATAATGTAGATCAGTGTAAAGCGATATATACAGCAGAAAGCAATCCTAGCTTCACATATGAAATGATGGGCTGTGAGCTGACTATTACTACTCATGAGTGAGACCAGGGGGTTATGACAAATTGTTCCATGAAAATATCAGCTTAGTGTTCAGAAGCAATCAAAAAGGCAAACCAAACGCTAGGTACTACCAAGAAAGCAACAGTGAATAGGACAGGGTATCAGCACTATGGCACTTTACAAATCTGTGTTACCCACACCATGAGCACTGCATTCATCTCTGGATTTCTCATCCAAGGACGTCTCTAGTAGAACTAAGAAACAGACCAGAGAAGGGCATCAATGATGGCCATGGCTATGCAACAGCTTCTGTATGAGGAACTGACAGAGTTGGCTCTCCACTTCACTGCGCAAAAGATGATCCACATGCAGCTACTGCTAAAGGGATCACAATTTTTTACCTTTCTGCACATGCTAAATCAATACTAACTATTTTCAAAATGAGAACATACCAGACCTGACAGAACAGCCCTCTCACAGAGAGTTAAAGGCTGAGCGCATACTTTGTCTGGCTGAGACCGTTAAGCCACAATCCGAACAAAAAGCCAAAACAAATGTACCAGAAAACCATAAAGCTCTGCAAGGTAATGTCGGTAAGGACTAGCTCTGGAAACGCAGCAGCAGCAATGACAAGGAGTCATTTCTGCAGTCTGCCAGAATCACTCTACATACTGTTTGTAAAGGAACAGAGCTAAGGTAAGCAGGAGGCGGCAGACACAGCATGAGGGTGGACAAGCCTAGCTGAGGAAGGGAGGGAGGTGGACTAGAAAAAGCAAGCGAGGCTGGGAGGGAGGAAGGGAGGGAGAGAGAAAACTCTTGAGTTGGAGGACCTGGGGGAGTGAAAGAGAGATGAACAACCCCAAGAAAGCAAGCTAGTTTGCCTAAGGTGAGCATAATGGGCATGACCTTATCTGCTGTGATATGGGTAATTTGCGGAGGAGTGGCAAACAAACCAGAAGGGTGAGAGAAGAGGAGGCTCATTTCAAACTCTGAAAATGCCTACTTTCCCAAACAAGATGTAGAGCTTATATTGGATTAAGCAGGGGATTCACAGGATGCGAGTATTAATGGAGCTCTTTCAAAACCCTGAGAAAAAGGGGAAAACACAATGTGTGAGTTTTTGCTTTTACACTGACATTTTTAACATTCGTTTTGGAGGAAAAAATGGTATTTAGGAGTTAAAGCATTATGCACCATCCATGAAAATAGTGTTTAAATTTGATTTCTTTGTTATATTGTACTATGCTGTACTGCATAGACACAGAAATAAAGGTTGCTGCACAGAGTAAACATAATTACATTTCAAATCATACATTAAAATGTAAATTTATCTGTCTGTGAATAGACCACTAGCTTTTTTAATGTACACAGGCGGAAGAATTACTATTAACAGCAATGCAATGTGGCCACCCATACTGTAGTGTGGATTTAAATTACTGCTGTGATTTATAAAAAAAAAAAAAAAAGTAATGGATTTTGACAAATGCTATTAAGTTTTGACAAATGCTATAGAATAATACATGACGTGACTATCCATCAGGTACTTAGCGGTCATGGGGGAGATAAGGACCTGAGGCACAGTTAACAGTATTTACCTTTCTAATATGCAGTTACTAATTCAAGGGACTCTGTGAAATGATTTCCAGATTGACTACCATAGCATCCACTTTTGTATATGCAAACAATAAAACCTAGAGGAATGTTTCTTTAACAACCCCAAAGTCTCAAAACCACTTAAATTAAAGTAAAAAGCAAACTATTTCTCCTAGCTGTCTGTAGTCATCTCTGCACCCTGCTACCAAGTAGGATGGGAGGGACCTACAGAATGCTGTGACAGTGACTAACCAAAGCCCGAGGCAGTGACAGTAAGCATGGCTCCACAGCACTCAGTGACATGAGGCAGATTTCCATGAAGACGCCAGATCTAGCAACATCGGCTCTACATAGGAGACCGACAGGCTTTGGCTGACAAAAGGAAAGTTCTGTTCCAGCTCTCAACACTGCACAGTGCAGCCTGGGACAGTACTACACCTTGTTCTTGAAATGTTGAGAGTTTTCACTAATCCGTCAAGCAGGCTCATCTCACCTGGTATAAAGTTGGAGTCCACAGCACAGGCTCGGCTCTCCGTGGTGTTGCCCGTGCACTGGCTGCCCACTGGAAACAAAATGATGCACTGACGAACACGGAACTGGAAGCCAGACGAGTCGCAGTCGGACCACTCAGACCACTCGGACCAGCTGTCTGCAACAGGCAGAGGGGGACACACGCACAGACCCTGCAATTAAATGCTTCAAGTACGCCGAGTGAGAGAGAAATAGCCCGTATTTCTGAATTACAGCAGAAGGCCTCATCCCCAGCTACCACCAACTAGCAGAGAACAGCTCTTTCATTACAATGAAACAAAGGCAGTCCAGCTTTGGCAAAAGTATCTGAAATGTAGAATGTGGTGGTAAATTTGTCGCAGATGTATTATAGCTCTGGCTTCTGCCACAGCCTTCGTGTGGGGAAGTGAGAAGCTGGAGGGATTCTGCAGTAGCGACTGAGAGAGTGATTGCTGTGGAGTTAATTCCAGCCTAGGTTGTTAGGGTGGAAAATGACACCGTCTTTTTTTTATGTACCTGACAAATAGCAATGAGAGCTATAAATGTATGTATTCCAGGACTGAAACAAGATGTTTATTTAACCACAAAAATAGTAGTCTTGCAGATACTTTTTTTTTTTTTTTTTTTTGCTTTTGTTATTTCAGGTCCATTTCTTTTCTGTAGATAGAAGAGACCTCATCAAGTATTCTCACCTCCTCTTCCCCATTGGGCTCATTATCAACTTCTATTGTTTCTCTATATTTCTTCCTCTGCCTATGTAGTTTTGATTAAGACATTTTTGTTTCATGCCCGTATGATCTTAGAATACTTCCTTTAAATGAAATGAATTTATCTCATTCCCATGAGGTGCTGTGAGTTCACTGAGCTCAGCTTTCTTACAAATCAAGCACAAGTCTTGCCTTCATAGGAGTCTTCTGAGTTTGGCAAGTATTGTAAAGACAGAACTCCATTCAACTTTCTTCTTTCTTCTGTCAGCTTTCCCACTGAGATAGGTTTTATGGTTTTGACATGGAATAAACAGTCCTACTATCCCAAACCAAGTTTGTTTCTACTTCAAAATTTTAACTGATTTTATACCATATGAAGCAAATTTACAATTTTTGTTTTGCTTTAAAAAAAAAAGTATATATTAACCTAATTTTGTTTCAAGTTCGATTGAATTAAAATTTGTGAATAATTTTGAAAATTCATGAAGCTTTTCTACACTTTTTGTGAATCTGGTGGAAAGCCAGTCGTCTTACACTGTTTTGGGGACTTTTCAATACATTATATAAATCCAGTATACAAGGTTCACATTTACTCATTACTTTCCCCTTGGCCATAGAGGAAAATGTTAAAACTCTCTTTTATATAAAATTTAACAGATAGCAGGAATATTTGGGGTTGCAGTATCAAAAAACGTCAAGCGACAGATGCTTTCCATGACAGTGTTGGACATTCACTTACTAACCAACAGCATGGTAAAAAGATATGGATGGAGCAGACTGACATAAGTTTAGCACAGAAAATCTCAGGCAGTGGTCCTCAAACCATTTCAAGACAGTAGGAGGGTGCTGGTTAGAAACAACAGCAATCAGTCCTAGCAGTCCGTGGTTCAGATGCACACCATTACCTGTAGAGTTGTTCATAAAACAGATCTACTCAGCAGCTCAGGTAAGAACCTGGATATTGATATTTATGAACAATTAGCAACTGTCTGGATGGGGCGTCCTTTGAACAACAGGGCAAATACCTTGACCCAAGCAGCTGGTGTCAAACAGTAGGATCTTGTTATTGTGAGGAGCAAGAATACTCAGCTCTGTCCTTTGGCTCTTCTGTTTCCTAGGAGAGGTCCTGGGAGGGCCTCGTTTGCAGCGTGGGTAGTAGGAGCATGGAGGCAGATGACATAATGTAGTTGGATCCTAATTCAGGGGGGTAGGAGAGCTGAGGTGGGAGTCAAGCAAGCGGGCAGGCTTCTTCCTCCTTATATAATGTGGCACATCCAGGAGCTGCTGTTGTCGCTGCCAGTGTCAGCTGCTGGACCTAAGTAAACTAAGTACATGGATCCTTACCTTAAATATTCATTAACAGTAAAGGCCTGCTCATTCAAGTTTAAAGGAATGCTGCTCATTACAAATCTTAGCCCAGTTCTCATCGGTGTCAGAAAGCATGCCTAAGCCAGAGCCAATACTCTCACCCAGTCCTGGTACAATTGGGACAGATGCAGCAGCTGACAAAATGCTTGTAAGTATCCTAAGTGCACCTTGTTGGCTGCTGCACTCTGCAGCCCCATCTTTCCAATGTGCTTTTGGCCCACCAGGTTCCTTGCTGAAAGGGCTGCATCCTGTGATAAAATAGGAACCTCAGAGCATGCATAGATCATGCTGCATCACATACTGGTGACTGGGCAAGGCTACTGTTTCAGCCTGGCCTTTAAGAGTCCTATAAAAGGCACCATGTGCATTAGGACCTTCCCAATATGCAACACAGGGCTTGTCCCTGCCATCTTGAGTCCCACAGTGCAGCCTAGGCACTACAGCACAGGTAGTCAGTGGGTCTGGTGCCATGCTGATCAGCTCCATCTGGCAGACAGAATCGCAGAAGAGGAGGAAGGGGACATCAGCGCAAGTGTGAGAGGGGTGGACATCCCTGCAATGGTGGATCCTGGTACCAAACCTGTGTTTTGAGGAGTGCCACTGTTGGGAGCTCAGAGAGTCACACAGAAGTAAGGCACCCAAGACTGGCAGATGTACCATTTCAAATCAACACACCTGCCCTTTGTAGAGCCAAATCATGGAGATGCTGAACCCGTAGATCTTGCATGAAATTCTACTGACTGTTATCCCACTTCATCCTTTTGATTTCTTTATCTTCAAAGTATCTGGGGCTCTCTTGCACCTCAGGCAGGTTCCTCTCAACTTGCTCCTCAGTTCTTTGCAAAAGCCATAAGAATGGAAAAGAGATGGTGGACTGGAGAAGCATTTAATCTGGAACTCTTTTTCACCTCTAACACAGTAAAGCTTACTCAGATGTCATGTCTTCTTCCTACAGAGTCTTGCCTGGCCTTTGAAGCCAGGTTAAGTCCAAGCAGTTCCTGAAAGATTCCTTGATGAAGAAGGCACCTCAGAAAGATCAGGCCACCAGTCCATAAGATTATAAATGTCTTTCACATAGAACTACACCATCATTTCTAAATGCTCAACTGCTTTATGCATTATTTGTATGTGTGAGTTAGCAATTCAAGGACAGAATATATTTTCCCCTCTTACAGCAGCAGTAAATAATTTAGGTATAAAATACTGGTTTATTCAGTACATTACAGACATGATTGCAACTGATTACACTTACTGATAAGCAGCCTATAAACCACTAATGATTAATAGTGCAGCTCTTCTATTCATATTAATGCAATTGTATTTGGATAAATTAAAAAAAACCAAACACAGTGATACAGCTTTTAAAATGAAAGATGGGAAAAACTGATTTATATTGCAGACACAAGTCTGTTACTTTCTTTTAAGTGCGTACTTGCATACTTTCAGTTGGACTGGCCATTAACCCTCCATACCCTCAAGAAATCCTTAGTATCAGGATTCCAGAAATTTTAGATTTTTGCTAGTTTGTTTGGCCAAAAAAAAGGAGAGCACTATTGCAAATGCCAAGAAATCTTTGCTCTTTTCACAACTTAACAAATGTTACAAATACTTTCCATTTTTGCATACGCATTTTCTGTGTTGATTGGTTGTTCTTAGTTTCCAAGTGTCACTACTATTCCCTTCCTATATTAAATATGTCACTCAAGCACTGAATGTCATGAATGGTACTTCCAGATCTGCACAAGGAAGAACCATTGGCCACATGATCCTCACCACAAGAAAATGGCCGCAGGGATGCAGGAGTCTGTCCAAACTTGACATGTATAGCACTGCAGTTATTTTTGTCCCGTACCAATGTGAAATAAGAGCAGTAAAAAAAAGTTTTGAAATCTACATTGCAAAAATGAGGCAAGGGCCATTCTCACAGCTAGTTGATGTGCTGTTTCAAAAACCCATGGCAAATTTTCAGTGAGATTGAAATATTAATAAAACATCACAGAAAGTGAGAAATACATCTAATCCTCTGAAATTTTATTGCTTTATAAAGTTTTTCACTTTCTTGAACTAAAATGAAACCAACCTCCCCCTTCTCCATCCCCCCATCTACTCCAAAATTTAGGTTACAAGCAGGTCAAAGTAAGATGAAAAGATTATTTATAAATGTTTGCAAACTGTCATTTCTAGAAAAATGGTGGTAGAAAATAAATGCACAACAAGAGAAATTGCTACGATACTAGCACAATGAACGCGCCAGTTCTGACCTTTTAGAGATGCCTTAAGGATCCCAAGGCAGCTATGTAACTTCTACACACAAATGTATACTATTTGTCTTGAAAAATCTAATCATCAACCGATTTCTGTGTTTGGGTTTTTTAAAAATACAATACAGAGTGTTTCATCTGCTTTAATTTTGACAAAGTAAGTACTTTTACTCTGCTGCAAGACATGCAGTGCCTAGAAAAGGAAATTAACTTAAATTGTAGTTCAGCACAGGTAATAGGATACATAAATTCAAATGCATGGGGCTTATGCCTTCATGTGCACAGTCTCATCAAGCAGAAAACTTTTGCTATGAAGTCTAGGAGCTCTAAGTGAAGCAAGTAATGCAATGTGGCATCAGAGCTGTTTATTTCCTTTTGCTGTTGCCTGCAATCCATTAATCAGCAATAAATGAAAACAAATTTTCCCACTGGCTTTTCACTAATGATTTTATCTGGTTTTATGTGGTTTTACTCTCTACTTCTCACTTAAATTTCATGAAAAAAAATAGTTACCTTTAATAGGGGTCAAAAGGCAGAGTCAAAGTTACAGGAAACGTCACAATGCATAATTATACACAACTAGCAGGAGTGCTGAGACATTTCATTTACTAAGTACTCCACAACCTTAGTGAAGTCTCTGCTCCTTAACATCCGAAGTTGAAGAAGGTATTTTACAAAAAATGTTAAGGTTTGCTCTGTGTTTTATATGAAAACAGGGCAAATATTACCTACTTGAAGGACTATCGATTTGCTTGCTGTGAACATTCAGTGTTATAACAAATGCAATTATTTGTGATAGTGTTATTAAAAGACTCCCAGATCACTTGCATGAACCATTTCATATATTATACAATTTTAGTTTAACCAGACCCAGAACCTGCTAACTCAAATTTTAATTTTTAAAAGGCAAGGGGGAGGGTGGTGTCCTGTAGGTTATGTCCTGCTATTACTTGATTTACTGTGATTGTAGCATTGTAAGAGCTGATTGCGCACTTAACAAGGGAGGTAAATTATTTTCTCCTAAATAATAGATCAAGGAGCATTATGTTGCCTATCTGTGAATGCCTTATTCTGTGGCACGTAAATAACAAAGCTGTATGGCCTGATTTGCCATACCTGGACACGGCTGTGTGTTGCAGAGCGCTTCTTCAGTGTGCAGTCCAAGGCAGATATCTCCTCCATATGCTGGTGCTGGGTTTGTGCAGGAGCGGGTTCTCATGTAATGCCCTCCTCCACAAGTTGCTGAGCACTTTGACCAAGATGACCAACAAGACCAGCCTCCATCCACTAAAAAGACACAAAATATCATATTCTTCCAAGTTAATGTGTGACATGACATTATCCAACCTATCTTTCTCATATCCTGTGGATCTAGTTCATGGCCTACTGAAATTATTGGACATTTGTAGGTGCCACTGAACATAGGCCCACAAATTTAATCTTACCACAACACAATATATTATTTTAAAAGCCCCTGGTACACTGGGAAGCCTAGCAAAGTTAGTCAACCAGATAAGACGCTTTCAGTGTGTACCATAATATCTTTAAAGCCAAAACTCTTTTTCTTTTCCTTTTCTTTTCTCACTTGTGAGGAAATAAAATACCAAAGCTTGTTTAGCAGAAGTATGATAAGCTCAAAGTATTTTTTATTAATAAAATAAAACTTAGCCCAATAATGTCAACAGAGAGATGGAGGAATTCAGGGGTTTTTTTGCAACCCAGATGAGACTGCCTTAACCCTACAACCCATTTAATTTGATCTAACACAGCTGTAGGGTTTGATGAGCCAATATAATGTTACAGTCCTAAGCAACTGTAGCATAGATGCCAGCAGCAGAACAACGGCAGTAGTTCAAAAAAGAACAGATAAATACAAAAAGGAGTTGCCACTTAAAAGTTTCAGACACAGCTTGTTGAAGAATAAATATTTTATTTTTCTTCCCCCATTAGTATTTACTAACTCAAGTACGTCAAACTGTTCTCCAGTTTGAGTTTTCCTCTGAAACGTAGGCTGGATTTCATGGGAGCCCCATTTGTCAGACGGCTTTTGGCACATGGCCACCAGACATGCTTCTAATGAAAGTTCACCTCATTGCCTCCACTGGACCCGCTCCTTTGCAGCCTCTGTTCTTAAAGCTACTGCTCCAGGATGTACTTCTGGCATTTATGGCTGTATTGCAGCCCATCTGCCCGAAGCTTCCTATCTGCAGCCACATGACAAAGTCAGATTTACTTGTCCTAGGGACAGTATTCCCACTGCAAAGAATCTCAGTATTTTGTTCATTTCTCTTTCCATTTTTCTGGGGGGGGGGGGGGGGGGAAGCTACAAAACCATCCTACAAGAAATTAATGTATTAAGAATTGCTTTCTTAATATTTAAGTAAGGACATGATTTACCATATCTACAACTGATTAAAAGAGACAGTATATAATTCAACTGACACTAATAGATGAGACCCTAAGTATAATAAAGGCAACTTGTCAGCAAAGTTTTGGTTTAAGACTTTACTTTGTGGTTTCTTGAAACAATTGATTGTCACTGAAGTCTCCAAAACATCCATCCAGCATTTCACAATGTCTCCTTTTGATCCTTTCTGTTCAATTAATCAAACAGCCTTTCAAGGAGTAAACCAGCTTCCACCGATTTATTGAAATGCTATTTCATAATTATCTCTTACCAAAAAAAAAGGAGGTTCCAAACATGAAAAAAAATTAACTTACAATGAAAATATCTGTGCAGTATTTGCATTTAAATTCTCTCTTAGACGGAGATGTAGAACATTAGAAAAATAGTAATTTTGTTTTGGTAGCATTGTATATCACAAATGTAGTTGGTGTGTCAAGTAGAATGATTTCTATGCAATGGCTGCAATAGTGAGAAAATGAGCTAGGAAAATGTGGTTATTTTGATATTAAAACTTATACATGCTCTTTTAAAATGTAATTTCAGATACAGCATACTCTCAGGCTCTCAAGTGCTAATCAAACAGGTAATTCGCTAGTGAATACCTAAGGCTATTAACTAATCCTGTAAGAGTAGTTGTTGAATATATAACATTTTATTCTCTGTATTGTTTGCAACATTATCCTCTAAATCAAGAAAGCATGGAGTTGGCACTTCCTTGCTAAGAACAATAGTTGTAAACACTCTTGCAAGTAATGTACCTGGCTTCTGAATAGCCTGATTGGACAGACAGGATTCGTGGAATCTGGCACTGTATTCCAAGTATGTCATTTAAATAAATTATTTTTGTTATTAAGGAGTTCAATGATTGCTACATTTTCTCCAGGATATATTTGTCAGCCAAATCATCTAGCTATGCAGACATATGAAAGAGTTTTATACCACCTATCATAAATAAATACTGCATCTCGGTAGAGTGCTTGATTTGTTCTCTTATTCATATAGTCACTGGAAAACAAATATGTCTTTTTGCCTGAGATAACTCTGTTAATGTAGCATTATGCAAGCTCATATCTAAGAAAGCCACAGGTTATTTGTCTTCAGTGCAAGTGAAATATACTATACAATTTTATAATAATTTCAAGACATGGTATCTTTTATTCAGAACTTGCCTCTCTCTTATTTTTTTTAAATTATGTAAAATAAAAGCAGAACCTGTTACCTAAGCTATTCACATGATATTAAGGCTTTACCTTTCCAGATACTCCCTTTTTTCTTCCTTTTTTTTAAAAAAAAAAATAAATAAAATGATCTTTGACTAGCTCAGGTG